GGTCAACTTTAGTGTGTGTGGCCTCAGGCTTTTATCCCGACCATGTGAGTGTGTCCTGGAAAGTGAATGGCGTAGAGAGACAGGACAGTGTATCAACTGATACCTCAGCCCAACAGAACAAGACAACATTAATGTACCATATCAGCAGCAGAATAAAAGTTAATGGCACGGACTGGATGGATCCCAAGAATAGCTTCGCCTGTACCGTCCAGTTCTTCAACGGAGATGAATATGTCAATGTCACAAACACCATAAACGGTCAAAAAGGTTTGTGAAAATGCACCAAATGTTATAATCAGGTTCAATAACTGCATAAAGTTCACTCATTATATAACAAGTTCAATTCAGTGATAAGCAGCTCCAGAGACAGTAGACATAAGTATATATATAGTATAATACATTTGCAGATGACACTTTCTTTGATATATTTATATGTCGCAGTGAGACTGATCGTGCCAAAATAGAATATACAGTGGCCCGAAAGACTAAGTCTGAATTCCACGAGACAGCAGACTACTGATATTTAGTTGTCTAATTTGACAGTCTTTGTATTTATGTCTTTAAGTGCTGTATCTGACATGTTTGTTTGTCCGTGTTTTTAGTGAAGCCGAAAGGATTGAAACTGCTTGGCTTTGGCTACATCCTATTCCTCAGCAAAAGCCTGCTGTATGCGCTGGTTGTGGCTGGTGTGGTGTGCAAACTAAAGGTAATTCCTGATAACTATTATGCACATCTCACACATCAAATATGCATGTACAGTATATGAATATATAAGTATAAACATAGATAGATTGATACATGTGTTCCCATAACATGATATTAATTTATTACCCTACAGTTCTCAGCGAAGAAGAAACAATTACCAGAAGACTGAGATGCGTTGAAAATGTGTGACTTTAGGCCAGAAGTGACTTTCTTTGTTATTTACAAGTTGTATAAAATATCTGTGTATTGCCGACAATTTACTAGATTCATGTTTGTTATATTTGTGTATGACATCAAATCACACATATTATAATTTTTTTCTTACTTTTTTTATTTTTATTTCCCAAAGCTTGAAAGTTTAATGGAGGTAGTGACTTGTCTGGAATGAATAACTAACAATGAGAAACAAATTAAGTAGAATGATATAAAGAGTTTTGGGTTCTATTTTTGTGCTATGACTAAAACATTCTACATTTACGTAATTCTGAGGCCTTTGTTTTACGAGAAACAGGATATTTGCATACGTTTTCTTTTTTTTTT